ATTTTTGTTGCTGCTCTGTCTGCTGTACTATCTGTTCTTCATGCTGTTGAAGTATTATTCTTTGTTTTGTCAATTCTTGCTGCTGATTCTTCAGTTGGTGTTCAACAGTTTTTGTGTTTGCTGTAGTTTCATCTGATGGAATATGTAATGTCGGAATTGCAGTGTTTTTTAAAACACGTCTTGTTGGGGCACAACTATAATCGTTGTCACAAAAATGTTTGTAGCACACTTGCCACTTTTGAATTTTACGTTCATCTACTTGCTGTATATGTAAATTGTCTAACCACAACTTGCGACGTTCACGATTTTTTGGGAATAAATGAGATGGTACATTACTCCCAGATTTACAAGTAGAAACGCAACATGCTCTACCCATCTTTAATGTTTATTAAAATGTAACAACAGTTTAACAACTGCACAATGTAGTCGCGTATATAACTAACGGCAAAACGTGTTGAAACGTGTTCACACGTATTCACTTACACATTCGTATTTAGTTCATATGCCAGGTACGCCTTATTATAGTAGGCGCCACTAACGCTGATACACGCAGTTTGGTGGCCCTGCGTGGAACAGAGAACAAAGACGAATCGAGACGTTGAAAGCGCGTGAGCGCCCGAGGCGAGCGCACCGCCGCATGGCAAATCATCCCGCGTTTGTAAACACAATCAGTGGCGCGCTAGCTACAATTCTCCCAACGACATCTATCGGAACTGAACGTGAACTTTTACGCGTTCATTCAACGTATCAACGTATATATATATATATATATAGAGTTCGTTCCGTTTCGCGCGTATGCGCGCATATTTATCTATAGCACACGTCACGTATAGTATAGACAAATGCGCTCATATGTGTGAAACGGAACGCAGCTTATATATATATATATATATATTTCGAGACTTGCTGACGTCACTTACGCAGGCGCACGAGAGACCTTGCCCGCGAATTTTCACGCAATCCTTCCGACAACCGTTCCTCTGCACCTGTGCGCGCCTGTGGTGGCACCTTGCACCTGTCGGACTCTCTGGTCGTTCGCTGTGGTCTTCGAGATCTCTCGCTTGCGGAACTTCCCCTATGTGGTTTGTTCACAGACGCCCGTCGCGTTACGGAGTGAGATTCTGATCAGCAACGCCGGAGAACACCGTTACATATCAAGTGCGAAGAAATTTAAAGCAGAGTTTTTTTTTGTTTTTTTATCAAAAGCACGTAGAATCACAGTCCGTTCGGTTTATTTTCAGCATTTACGACTTGGTTTTCCACACTTGTCGTATATGACGTTTGGACTTAACGCGTTTCCTAATCATTTTTTGTTGCGACGGTGCTTTGTGAATAATTGATCAATTAGTCGTACGCATTAACAGATACAAGTTTATTCAGCAATTTTTTTTATAAATTGTTGTTTTACACGCGTCATACAAAAATCGAATGAGATTATCCATCGGTCGATTAGTGGGGGGGGAGGGGGCAACATTTTTGTTTATTTATATAATTTTGTTTTGTTTTGTAGAGAAATGGAAGACGAACGACTCACTAGCAAAGATACCGAGGAAGACAAGTGCGGAGACAAGCCCAAGGAAATTCTGGGCTTGACCACCAGAGCAGCTTTGAACACGCTTCATCGCGATGTTAAGCGTGTTCTGCAGGAATACGAAGAGGATCATAGGAAAAACAAGTATTATCTTGTACAGACCAATAGTGATTATTTGAAGCAAATTAATTTAAAGAAAGTAAAATGGCACTTTGAAATGTGAAAATTGGAAAGAAAAGATGCTAGTAAGAGCCAAGCGTTGATTATTAATGCTCAAATCAATGTTTATAAGCTATAATGATTAAGATTTGTTAATATTTGCATGCGCAACACGTTTTGTATTTTACTCTGCAATTATTTTTTTTTTTTTTTTTTTTTATGTTTAGAAAGTACAGAGCTTGGCTCAAGGATGTCTTGCATCATCGTAGTCAATACACAATGCTCTGCTGGACCTCAGCACTTGCTCTTCTGATCAATGCTGTTATTCTCATAGCTGCATTCTTCACACTCAATGAAAATTGGTGCGTTAAATATTTACAGATGTATCATCTGTGCTTATGAAAAAACAGTATATTAATATCATGTTATATATATACACTTATATATATACATATATACACATATAAATACATATATAAATGACACTATAAATAAGTTCTACAAGTGATTATGCGCCATTGCAGGTATTCTACACTGCCCTATGAAGGACTGATAGTCTGTTGTTTAGTAGTATTTAATTTTATTTTAGTAGTTTTGGATAACAAATTGCGACACAACGAGATCCCTCACAGAGTAAAGATTCTTCTTGATCAACTTGACAGTATGTACTTTTCTCGACATATAATTTTCTTTTATAGTTTCACAATACTTACTTAAATTTTTATGTTGAACCTTGCAGTTGCACGGTCCACATGTCGATGGCGACCTGAGAACTATCCACATCTGCTCAGTCCGCAATCACCCTGCCTGACTCTGCAATGGACATACCGCGATGGCAAGATAGTCAATCTACCATGGGCGCTGCTAGTTGCCGGTGATATAATTGTAATGAAGCCGGGTCAACAAGCACCTGGATATTGCGTGCCGTACAGTGTATGTGGATTTAGTTTTATCACATGATATTCGCTCTTCAAAGTCACCTACCAGAAATATTCGTTGAACTCTATTCTCGATGAAAACTTTTAGGATCTCGAAGCACCAGTGTTACACGCCAGAGAGACCTACAGCCAACCGGTACACCCCACCAGTGAGATTTTCTCCATGCCGCAGTCACGCGTCCCGTTGAAAAACAAAATCTACAAGCTGCAGGAAACGCCGTACTTGACAAATCTGAGGATGGCCTTGGATCAGGCGCTCGACCGACCGGTTACTTACTACAATCGCAAGCGTCACTTGCTGATGATCTGCTGCATTGAGCACGTAGCCTATCCGATACTGCTGATCATCATCCTCGTGGTGAATCTGCTGCGTTATCTCTATCCAACGGATTACTTCAGCACCGGTCACTGGAGCGAGATGTTCCTGTTGCAACCGATCGCCGTAACTTTGCCGTTGTTGCCATTGGTATTTCCCGCTTGTTGGATATTTCTCAACTGCTTCGGCATGGCTCGCTTCAAGGCGCTGTTCAAACTCTACTTGTCTGAAAAAAAGCTTCAAGTAAGCGATGTCTGTTTACTTGAAATAAAATTTGTGTTTCAAATTTAAAGAGCGTTTTTTATCGAAATATTTATCTTCAAACATTCGACAATTAGGAAGTAGATCCTTTCGAAGACGCGGACATCAACGGTCCGACTCATCCGGAAGTGGTGTACAACTGGCTTGAGCTCAAGAAGTACTTCTTCGACATTCTCTGCGGCAGGGAGCACATGATGTCAAGATCAGCCAGTATCTTGCACGTTCTGGGCTCCGTAACTGTGAGTATCTTACCGAGTATTGTACAAACAAAAGTGATCGTTGTTGTATTATAACAGCATTTTTTTCTGCGTTGCAGGCGTTATGCTGCGTGGACAAGAAGGGAATTCTGTCGTGGCCTAATCCCACGGCGGAAAAAGTCTTCTTCTTGCGCAACGCCAGTACTCTTTCACCGAGTTCAAGGTAATTGGAATCGAAGATACAAACTTTAGTATAAAAAAATGTATATTTTAATACTAACAATTGTTGCAACAATCGATTATTTTTGCAGCACCAACAGCATAAACAAAACAGTCGACAAGAATCAGGATTCCGAACAGACCAAGGCGACTTCTGACAAATCGTACATTCAACACGGTAGAAATAGCAAAGCTCGATATTCTTCCCGATTGAGCAAACGAAACGCGACTGTAAAATAAACAAATGATTTTTGATGCTTTGCAGATATGTCGCACTCCATCGCCGAAGTGTTGGATCTCACGCATGATCACGCGCTGCCGTTTCGCTTGCAATTCGACGATCACTCGTGGCGGCAACATCTGAACTCCCTGAAACCGCTCGGTCTGGCGATTCTTCTCAACACGTGCAATATGGACACGCAGGAGCACTACATGCAGTTCTGTTGCCACGTTACGTGCGAAGCTCTCTGCAACGAGAATCTAGTTCCCGTGATAAACAGACGGTATGCTTTTCTCCGGTATTTCTTTTTTTTCTATATTTTGAAATTTGTTGCATCGGCGCAATTGAACATAAAAAAAAAATCACACATTTGGCAGATGTCTGTGCGAACTCGCGAAACAAATCGGCTTCCAGGATCAAGCTCAAAAGATCTTCCAATTAGAGCAACAACTATGCACATTTAGACACGTAGTGAGTATTGTACTCTCGCAATGTTTTTCATAAATTTTGTCAAATCTTTGCAAAAGAAGAGCAAAATCTAATTTTTGCTTCGTTACAAGCAACCCGAAATGGTCAGGCGGGACATAAAATTCGCGCGTTCGCTGAGCATCGCGACGAAGCTGAAGTTCCCGTTCCCGCACATGGTTGCTGTGGTCATGAAAGAGCGAACTGGCGGCGGCCTGCAGTTGTTAACGCAAGGAACAGCCGATATTATTCTCGACTCGTGTATCGAATACTGGGACGGACATGATCTCTGCCCTCTTTCCGCGTCGGATAGGTATGTATTTTTTTTTTTTACATTATTTAATTCGTATTTCTAATTGCAACATAATTCACGTACACAGAGTGTTTCTTACACTGTCTGGATGAATCCCGGAAATTTGACAAGATTTGTATTTCTTTTTCTTCTTTTTTGTCGCAGGAAAAAAGTGCAAGACTTCTATCAGAGAACAAGCTTGACGTCTTATTGCACCGCGTTCGCTTATCGACCGTTGACGCGCGCGATAAGCGACAAGATGTCGGAGATATACCTGGAGCTTCCTGCGGACAGCAAGCATTTGTACACACCCCATCGAAGTCCGACACCCTTACCCTGGGATTTCAGGAACGTTCTCGACCCCAGAGTGCGTGGGATACTCGGACAGTTTCATTCGACAGGTTTCGTTGATTCTGCCGTTTCCGAGTGTTTGTTGTTGGCAGATATTTTGATTTTTGAAAAATATTTGACTACCTTCTTCTCTCTTTTTCAGATTCTCTGTTGTGCAACGAAAGCAAAGACGAAGACGTGAACGACGTCGAAGGTTGTTTCGAGGTTCAGTGCAATCAAGTCTTCATCGGAATGGTCACGATGCAATATCAGGCGCAGACGGATATGGTGAGACGCTGCCAAGTTGATCGTTAAGCATTTACACAGTCGCGAGCGGATAAATAAATACACACATACATGTATTCGATTATAGGTGCAGCTGATCGAGCAACTAGACAGAGCTTGCATAAGATTCGTTCACTTTAGCAAAGAGAACGAACTGCGCTCGCGTGTTTTCTCAGAGAAAATGGGCTTGGAGAGCGGCTGGAACTGTCACATCTCGTTACTCAGCGAGGGAGTCAGGTATTCAAAGCGCTACACACGTTTTATCATTATTGTTTTTTTTTTCTTTCTTGATGTTTGTCGATTTTTTTATGGCGCACTTACGTAAACTTTGTTATCTCGTCGGTGTTTCTGATTCAGCACTTAGCTTTTTTTTTTTTTTATTATTATTTTATCATAACTGTATTGCCGAGAAACTGTGTTTCTTTTTTCTTGGGATGTGTAATTGAGATTCAAAGAATTCAAGGTGTCTATTTAATAAGAACAAAAATATTTTGAAAAAGTTTTAACGGCAGGATCGGGACTGGATAAACATTCACTGAATCATTCGTGTAATTTTAATAAAATTTTCGTCTTATCAGAGCGCGAGCTGTGATAAAGCTCGAGTAAAAATGCATCTGTGTATATTGCAGGAGACAGCAATGGCTGGAGAGATATCCGCATTTGCCTCTGTTGTATATGTTTGTCTATACGTCTCTTTTACCTTTATTGTTATTAATTTGCATGTTGACCGTTGTTGCGAACTCTCACAAAAATTAGATTACAGTCTTAAACTGATGTAAACTCCAATAATAGTTCAGAAACAATAGTTTATTTATTTATTTATTTATTTATTTTGAAAATTTCAACTTGTAAAGAGCCTCTGTTTATCTTTTAACTTTGACCCTTTTGTTAGTTTCACTATCATTCTTCATGTGCTGAAGTTGCAAGTTGTTGCATATCACAAGATGTTTCTTCATTTCTTCCCATTTACGTGTGCGATCATTCCTTATACGTAATCTGCTATATGAGTTTTTAACAATCTAGATTTTGTGATTGCGCGAATTGATCTAACCAACTTAACCCATTCAAGATTCGTTCATGCGAATGTGCATGAACAGTCGTACAACGAAGATACACGCTCTCTCTCATGTACTCCAGAGTAACTAACACACACATGACAACATCAGGTCCGAGAGTCCAGTGGGTTGGTGGGTGAGCCAGGCAGCAGCCATGTACTCACCCACTCCCTCACCAATGGCCCAATCTCAACAGCCTAATTACTCCTGCATGGATGAGGCCAGCCACTTGCTTAATCGTGTCTTACCTCGGTACGTTACGTCGCTTATTACACGCTAGAAATAACTCATTCAAATTTTTATCAGGACATTGTCCTACAATCTTGAAAGAGAAAAAACACTTGAGAGATTCCTTTTGGTTTACAATAATCAGAGAATTGCTATTATTTTTTTTTTTTATAAGTTTTTTTATTCTTGATTTTACATTCACATCGAGATACATTCAAAAAAAAAAAAAAAAAAGCCCCCATGAGAATCTTAGTCACAACTTGGTCGTCGAATCTCGCACTTGAACGTACATGGCTTTTCATATGCGGAAGATGTACGATGTAGCATGACGAGAACATTTTCAATCATTTATACAAGAAGCTTTGGCAAAAGAGAAATTGAACGACCTAACACACTTCCCCAGCTTTTTTTTGCCTCGATGTGGTTTCTCTGTCTACCGTCAGTGGTACAACAACGGCCGCTTATGATTCGCATAAATCTCACTCGGAACAAATAACACTCATTTGTTCGAAGCGAAGACTTTATCTTCTAAGATGAAGTTTTTCAAGGTGAGAATCTCAGAGCTCAGAATCTCGCCTCATTTTCGAGCAACAAAAGTCAGCCCGCAAGCGGCCGCTGTTGTAGCTAGTACGCTAATCGAGAACACTTGTGGCAAGAATGTTTTATTTTGTAGCAACAACCTGACCAACAGTCGAGCGATGAGCATGTCGGCTCCAAGCGCCATCAACACGGACTTCGTGACGGTGAAGTTCGACGATGAGACTACCGAGTGGAACAACACGGGGACTTCGCAGGCCAAAAGCGCCATGAGTCACAGGTAAAAAAAAACCGGCTAGGTTTTGTAGATGCAATAAAATTGGCATTTGTTATTTTTTTATTTAATTACTCAAAGATTGATTGCTTAATATACGTTGTAGTTTTTCTTTGTTGGTAATAAATTTAAAACACAGCGCACAGTTTTTTAAAGATCGTCAATAAATACTTCATACGTAGAGATAATAAATTATCAAGACAGGGAGCAAGATACTGTGAGAAGCGAGGACAGCGTGCTGGTGCAGAGCGTTGACTTGGGATCTGGTCAGGAAGCCTGGAGATCCTTGAGCTGCCTCACCGACAGTACCGAGCAAAGCGCGCCCGTCAATTTTGATCTATCGAACAGGGTAGAGTAAACGTTTTTTTTTTTTTTGCTGATTAAAAAGAAAACTTTAATGAAAACATTCGTGAACCTAAAAACGTTGTCTCCTTTATAAACTCACAGGCCAAATTGCCGAGAGGCATAGAGAAGATACGTCCGCACATTGAACTCATAGACAACGTTCCTCTGCTCGTGTCTCTGTTCACCGACTGCACAACCGCGGTGACGCGCGAGATGCTGCACATAATGCAGGATTACGGCGAGGTGGTCTGCGTTCTCGGCTCCTCGGCCAATGCCGAGAACATGCCGATCTTCATGCAAGCCGACGCCGGGTAATTATTATGCATCGATCGTGGATTTGATTAAAATTTTCACTTTCTTCAGGCGCAGTGAGCGCTTCGGAAGATGAAGTTTTTTGTGACTGTAGAGTTTTAAATAAAATAAAATAAAATAAAATAAAATAAAAAGATTCTGAAGAATAAAATTAATTGTAGAGTGGCAGTGGAACCTCTGTATCCCCAAGTGTGCCAAAAGGTGGCTGTGTTGGTGCCCACCACGGGGGATCAGGGAATCTCGCCTGTCGATCTCAGCAGAGCGCTCAACTCCGTCGCGTGCTCGCTGAGCGTTAAACGCGAGGATCCCGTGGCTATTTTCCATCTTATCATGGAGGTATGATTTATAAAAAAAAAAAACAATTCAAGGAATTTTCTTCTATTTATTTACGGGCGTAAAGTTCGGCTAGTTCAACGCTCATTTTAAGTGGAACGTGTGTACATCTTCGTAACACTTTACCGACCGGAAACCTATTGATAGACGTTTCTGCTGTTAACGCTTATCGACCGGGAGTCTTTTAATCAAGCTGCCGGCGTGTTTCGTCATTAATCGCAGTTCGTTTCCGTACTAACCGAAGCGCAACAAGCTCGTGTGTATTACGTGACAGTTCGTGTGACGCGTATTACACTGGAATTAATTGTGTTTTTTTTTTTTTTTACCTAACCTGATCAATCGGTTTCGTGCATAACACGCGTGAGAAGTGCGTGGAAAACAGCTGTGTATCATTCACAGCCACAACAAGTGGCTGAGAGAACACATAAGTTCGGAACGAAAGTTACAACAACGGAATTTTCACTCTACACAAAATTATGAATCGAGATAATGAGATCAAAGAATTCTGTGTGGATAATTTGTCAGAATGTTCCGACGGTTCAGAGAGCGATGACGAGAAGGACACAACCGATTGGAATCAGTGTTCTTTATCTGAGGTAGTATACAAAGATTCAGATAGTGAAGATGACAATGGAGAAGAAGAAGAAGAAAAAGAAGAAGAAGAAAAAGAAGAAGAAGAAGAAGACAGTGTGTGGTCAACGAAGGATGAACCAATTACTCTGGAACCCTTTGAAGGCAGCCCCGGCATAAAAATCACGCCTAACTCTCAAAACGTGGCGGACGTCGTGAATCTGTTCATGGGAGCGGACCTTTTCGAGCACATGGCAAATGAATCCAACAGATATCACTATCAAATATTGAACACGTACAAAATTCCATCAAAGACAAAGAAATGGAGAGACATCACGGTGGCCGAAATGAAGAAGTTCTTAGGTCTAATTGTTCTAATGGGACAAGTAAAGAAGGACATGGTCCACGAGTACTGGTCGACCGATCCGGCAATTGAAACCCCATTCTTCTCGAAAGTAATGAGCAGAAACCGATTCATGCAGATCTTGCAGACGTGGCATTTTTCTAACAACGACAACATAGCTGTCAATTCGAACAGACTCGTCAAGATTCAGCCTGTTGTCGATTATCTTAAAATGAGATTCAACGAAGTTTACAAACCCGGTCAACAATTGTCGTTGGACGAGTACGTCATACCGTGGAGCAGCAGATCCATTTCCTTCAGAACGTGCAATTCTAAAACCACCATGAAGGATGGTCTGCTCTTTAGAGCACTCTGCGAGTCTGCTACAGGATATATCTGCAATTTCGAGATACGCCCTACCCGAGAAGAGAAGCTGGAAGATACTGTTTTGACGGTTACGGAACCTTACAGAAATATGTGGCATCATGTTTACCAAGACAATTATTACAACAGTGTGAATCTAACTCGAACTCTGTTGAGCAACAAGACACGAACGTGCGGCACGATTCGAAAGAGCGGAGGTTTTCCCCGCGCTCTTCAATCGGTGAAGCTGTCGAGTGGCGAAATCGCGTTTCGTCGAAATCGCGACGTTCTCTTGCTAATATGGAACAACGGCGCGAGAAACATGAACGTGATATCGACGATACACAACGCGCAATTGATGAAAGTCGAAAGCGCGACGAACAAGAAGTCGCAAAAATCGATCAAAAAACCCGCGTTGATACTGGATTATAACAAATACATGAAGGGAGTTGATCGTGTGAATCATTATCTTGAGTTCTATTCGATTTTGAGAAAGACAAAGAAGTGGACTACGCGAGTTGTGATGTTTCTCATCAACTGCGCTCTCTTCAACTCGTTCAAATTATACACGGAACTGAACGGGAGAAAGAAGATGTTCAAAAAATTCTTGCGCGACGTGGCGGTCGCGTGGATAACAAATTGCGAGAGTAAACAACGAACAGATGTAACGAATACCGAGCAATCGGATGATTCGTCAATTACCGAACGAACGGATCTGTCGAACACGCGATCCTGTTCGGTCGAAGAGAATGAAACAACGGAGTCGCCCGATGCGCCGATCACTCCCGAACCCGCGAGAAGAACACCCAAGATGGATCATCCGGACAGATTGACAAATTTGAAGAAACACAAACTTATCAAAATAATCAGCAACGGCAAAAGCAAAATGCCCCAAAGACAGTGCAGAGTGTGCGCGTCGAAAAAGATAAGAAGCAGAACGTGCTTCATCTGCGTCTTTTGTTCTGTCCCGTTGCACAAAGGTGACTGTTACCAGCGCTATCACACTTTAAAAAAATACTAAAAGAAAAACTGTCTTCGCGACGAAAACTTACTGTTTAAATTTTTGTTGTTCAAACACGTTACCAGTCTCCAAAAAATAATTCCATTGTATAAATTTCATATTTGCGTTGAAAACCTTAATATCGACAATATTAAGGTACGGTCCAAATGTGTGCGACAAAAAAAAGCGAAAAAAAAAACACACTTTTCGATCTGGTTGATCGAGCGTTAAATTGTAAGTAATTTATCCAGTTGTTGTTTTTATTCTCAAGTTTACAAAAGTCACTGAATTAAAAATAGCAAATGAAACTTGCACGAAGTCGGAATCGCGTTAAGGTACGATGTATAACACACCATCTTTCTTCTCACAGGCTCGTCACTACATGAGGAGTTTGTGGAACTGCATGCAATTCTGGCTGTGCTGTTCGATCACAGTCGCGTTCACGTCCATCCTGTCCGCGTTTATGTTTCTGCCACCGTTACTCTCCATCGATCAGGTGCTCTGGCTTTGCTGTCTGATAATTCCCATGTTGTCGATATCAATGATCGCCACGCCGATCGATTCGACGATAATGCAACGCGCGACCGGCAAGAATCAGTGCATTGTCAACGGAGAGGTGAGAAACGGTAGTTGTTCGATTACGGTGGAAGACTTTCGGATTTTTGTACACTTGTAGTGAGTCGTGAATTAATGTATAATATGTATTTATTACGCAAATCCAGGTCATGCTGTTTGTGCTGTGGTGCTACGGCGTCAAGTTTCTGCCCACGGTGATCACGGTGATTCTGTCGCAGTGCATCTCGTTCCTGACACTCTGTCCTATCTATGCGTCGCAGAATTCTAACAAGTGCCTGTACATATATCCAGATCCGCGGGACCAAATATGGGGCGGTTGGGATAGCAAACCCCTTGTCATTCTGGCCGTGCAACATTTCGCCCTCACTCTTATAGTTTTGCACTTCGGTAATTGTCCACAATATTGTCATTGTTAGTTGTCACTGTTTTTTCAAGTTGTAAATAGACTTAAAAATCTTGACAATTTTTGTTTAAAATTTATTTCGCAGTAATTGGAAGTGTAATTTCAGATCTCGCAAGTTTTCTTTTTATAATTTTTAAACGCCAATCATTTGTGCGGTGGCTTCAAATTTATTTATTTTTTTTTTTTTTTCCTGTCTCTCATTGTGAGAAAGATATTTATAATCCCTTTATCTGCAAAATGTACTTAATGCTGCGCACTACTTTTTCTTTTCAGTTACCATATCTGTCAGTTTTGTGCATAGAGAATACTCGATATGGAAGAAAAATCCTATAACTAATTGCACCTGGTTTCTCAGCGTGTTTATTGTGTAAGTAAAAACAATCTCAAGTTGCCACCGTACCATATGTTTCAAAGAAAATTCAAATCATACACACCGTTGCGTCACAGATTGTGCATACAGGCTGCGTTCTCCGGTGTGGTGTTCGGCAGATTTTGGAAGGAAGAAGGCAAAAAGATCGAAAACTCATCACTGCACGTGCCATTGTTCTTCTTGCTTTCAATTCCGCTGACGTTCGCGATAAACGAATTGGTCAAGTGGCAAGAGATCAAGTAAGTCTAGACTCCCGTAATGTTTCAAAATCGATTCGATCTTGTCAATCGATGTTTTTATCTCGTTTTTGTTTTCTCTTTCAGAGTGAACGTTAGATATCAGAAAAGAGCCCGTTTAGAATTCGGAACGAAATTAGGAATGAATTCGCCGTTTTAAATTGTATACTCTAAGAAACTGGAAGTCGGTCTTGTTTCCATAGTTTTTTAATAATGTTGCTCTACAATACATATATGTATATATTTTTTTCAGCAAGATGACAAAAATCAATATACATGTATAGAGTGCATTGTTTGCTTCGGGCGGGTCAGTTTGTCTTTTATTGTTATAGTTATAACATGTGAAATGCTCGCACACAGACACAAAATTGTTCCTACAAAACAAAATAGTAATTTTTTTTATTTATAGCAAGTGTAGATTATCAACGTCCGTTTTCTCCATGTTCGCGATAACTTAATCGATCGATTGCTAATCAATTGCGATTGGTTATTTCGGTCAATCAACCAATATGATTGTGATCGGCTCTAACGAGGACAATCGATCGATTAAGTCATCAATCTCGGAGATGATGGAAAAACGGGCATAAGGATGTCAAAGTGACTAATCCATATCCTGCAAGATTTTTATCTACATCGAGAAGTTTTTTTTTTTTTAATCAGACGCAGAGATTGTAATGGTAGAAATCTTGCCGGTACGGAGTTTTGGTTGTGATATATATATGTACAGATTTTTTTTTTTTTTTTGTAGATATTTTATTTCTTTTGTACGTATTTAATAACACGTTTCGTGCCGCAAGCTCTTTCATGTAATTTAAACGTCAAAAAATTTTTATATTCGTGCGCCATCGGTTGCTCTCACGTTACGGCACGATACGTGTTTTAAATGTAAAACGAATTTCTGAATTTCCCACCAGCAACTAGTCCGAAAACCGTAACCTGAGGAGTGTGGTTGTCTGTAAATAATTTTTCTTAAACAAACGTTCTTTGCTAATGTAACACATGTATTTTCATTGAATTCTTATTAATTTGTATTACAACATTCGGTATTGAAAATTAAATATCGTCACACTCTCGTGGCTTTGAGAATGATTCTGTGTACGAGAATTCACACATAATCGCGAACGCGGAACATTCTTCAGCCTTCAGATGAGACGATATATGCGTGTGTATATAAATTAGTTCCATGTACATACATGATGTCACATTAATATTACGTTAACGATCAGATTTGTAATTTTTCTTGTGTAATAAAACGTATCTTTTTCTAAAGCGAAGGTTAAAATTTTTTTCTCGAACGTACATTAAGTACAAAGTAAGATACATCGAAAAACTCATATTTAACATTTGGAAATGGACGGTATATAAATAAAATCACTATATTTTAATCACATATTAAATCGTGTATTTGGTATAAATAGTATTTGGCTTTCGATCAACAATCGTTCGCAATCAGGACTCAATCGTGGCTTGGAGTGTTAACACGATCAACACCAACAACGTACTGAAACACATCACCACGGAGTACATCGCCTCGTAAAGCAATTTCGGCGAGAACACCGACCAAACGAACAGATGATTACGTTGGCTGGTAACGACGATCATGTAAAAGGTAATCGTCAGCAGCCTCCACGCGATGTAAGTTCTGCTCGTGCGCACAACGGTGTCCGTGCTGTAGATACAGATTAGATGATAGACTTTTTTTGCAATGATTTTTTACCTTCGACTGTGTAACCATGGATACGATATTTTTATGCTGCAACGGAGATTGTTATTTCTCTGTTACTCCAGAAAGTGTAACAGTGTTACATAGTCAAAGGATTTTTCCATGTATCGAGATTGGATTGCGAGGCAAAAATGCGGAATTTCTATATAACTTACCAGTAAATTTGATTCAATTGTCGATAATAAATAAGCAGGAAGTAGGACAGAACGGGCGCGGAGTAAGTGTTGATGATCAGATACGCGCCGGTCACGAGAGGAATGTACGAACGCAAACCAACATATCCCGCCGCCACGTCCACACTCGCGAGACTATTGGAGTTTCCCTGAAACGAATTCAATTGCACATTACAGCGTGATAAAAATGACCAAGTAAATTTTTTTTATCAGACTTCGAGAATCCCGAAACCCACCTGATAGAAGTAGAACACGTTGCCCAGCCAGCAGTGCGCAAAGACGTCGAGATCGAAGAGATTGCTCGCTCTCAGTACAACGTCGATCGTCGAATGTGCCAGGATTTGCGTCGGCAATAATATCACATTGTACGGTTGGTGCAACATGGCCGATATCGTCACCCAAATACTGACGACAAAGTACAGCGTCGCGCTCGCGAAACGTCGCCCGTCGTGTCGAATTATCGACGCCATTCGGTAACCGTAGCTCAGAAGAATCAACAGCGCAATACTCCAAAACGTTTGCACCTCGTTTATTCCACTGCAACGAAACGAAATCTCACATGTGATCGATCTCACGAAAATCAGTCAATTGCGTTTATTGCGCGTTGTCTACCTTGATGAGAAATAAAACGGTATCTTTGCGACAGTACCGTTTGCCATGTGGCGAAGATACACGCATGTAGCCCCAGCCAGGTGAAGCATCAACGACAGCCGTTTGTATCTCGTTTCGCGCTCGTACGCGATCCTTACGAGAAGACCTAATGCTGCACGAAAAGAAGACGGCGAAACGTTTTTTCAGTCAGATTTCTTAATTGCGTCAGATTTTTCAATATTTCAACGGAGAGATTTACCAACTAAGAGCAACGTTGTCATTCCGATCTTGCTGCTGTCCTCCTTCAACCAGTCAGCCGTGTCGGGCAGATGGGCCCATTTGTCGCCGGTGCTGTTGAGCCCACGAAGAACTCGGTGCCCTATCAGCAGCAACAAGAGCTTAAGGCTAAGTTTTACGTGACCAGAATTGCCGCAAATCAGATTCATCTTTGATCCGGTCTTCTTTACGCTCGTGAGATCACTGTTATATACCACACTATTAATTGACGAGAGCTGTGAAGTAACGGGGATACTCAAATTTGATTCAAATTGTCATTTTTTTTAGAAATTGATGCGGTGACTAATCGTTTACTTAAAATTTGTGTGCAAGTTTTAAAAGTGTAACAAAAAAAGACTAAAAATTAAATGAAACAAAAAACGTACAAAATCCAATGCAAATAAAACAACTTGTCATTGAGTGAGCGATCTAACTTGAAAATGTGATCTGTGAGTGAGAACAGATTTTTCTTACTTACTATCTGTTGAACGCGAACTGTTTTCTGAAACAATGATAAAGCAAGAACGCTACGGTACTGGCGTATAAAAAGTACCAAGTCTGATGTTCCTCCTCGATGAAGCTACTGCTGGCAAGGCTCGCTGTGTGCAGTAAGGCACCGATTTGAAACGTTCCACGTATCCTGGATCCTTTCGTAAACTGCGCGTGGAAATGAGAATTATCGCGAAAAAGAGGTGTCAGGGGTTTGACTAAGACGCAAAAACATTGTTAATCTTTTCTGTCACGTCAGAAATTAACTAGTGTTTCTCCCTTACCTCCGTTAAAGACAAGTCGCTACTTGCGCACAGATTGCAGTTTGTGTAAAAAACACCGATAACGAGAAAGAGCAACACCATCTCATACGTACTTATGGAACGGAACGACGACGCGCTCGAGGAACCGTACAGATAACATATTCCTACGGATAATACAGTTCCCAGTAAGAAAAAACGCGTTAAGAAATGTGATGCGGTTTTCCTGCACGTACTCCAAGCAAACTTTTTCACGAAGAACAAGTTGACGATTAACTAAAAAGAAATTTGGAGTCAATATTATTATTATTTTTTTTTGTGATTTCATTAATTTGTTTTCGTGTCGTAAGGTTTGCTTTTTCTTTATCTTTGAGAATTTAGTTTTTTTTCTTTTTTTTTTATAACAACAGATCTGTGTTTACTGACTTGGCACAGGAAGATTACGGCAACTATCATCGGTCGGAAATCGTACTCGACTACGCTGGTAATCAGAGCTTCCTTCATCTCCTTGAGAATTGCATTGTAAGACGAAACGATGTTCTCAACCGCTTCGCTCGATTTTTCGCTCGCGTTCAACCAAGTAACGTGATGGTAAACGGTGTCCGTGTACTTCCGGCGTACATCTAAAAAAAAGGCAAGAACTTTTCTCACCCGCAACTCTTGAATCGAACAATTTGCTTGATATATATATATATATATATATATATATATATAATGTATATATATATATATAATAATTAACACAATATATATATTTCTTTTTTTGACACACTACAAGACTCCATAAATGCTCACTCTCAATCTGCGATTCACAGTGCGCGAGCTTCTGATAATGTTCAAGAACTTGTCTCGTGTTGTAGTAAAGTAGGAAAAGTCTTTTTTCATCGTCAAGACGATAGATACTGTCCAGAAACATAGAACCGATGTTCGTGGCGGGAATGGGTAATCCGAGAGCGGCTGACAGCGTTGACGCTATATCGATCTGTTCGATTTCGATCGGATCGCCACTTTTCTGACGAGCGCAGTGAGTGTCTCCTATCGCTATGAACGGCACCGTCGTCTCCTGCGGCGTCGATCCTCCGTGTCCACCCGAATCTTTCATCCCGTGATCGCCGCAGACAACGAACAGCACAGGTGTTCCTTCGTTATTCTAAAAACATAACTGAGTGACAGTAACAAACCATATCATATATTTATTATGTATTTATATAAATTTTTCATATAATTTACCCATTGGTGCACTCTTCGACTGATCTGCGCGATAATTTCATCCATTTCTTGTAGCTTGGGTTTAATCAAGGCACTAAACGGGCCCTCAACATGACCGATGTGATCAAGCCCGAGATAATGAAGGATCATTACGGTCCAATCGTCATAATCCAGTTCTTCTGACACATGTCGAGTTACATTGTTATCTACCTGTTTTTTTGAAATTAGCAACTCAGTACGCACGCACAGTACTTCAAAATCAGTTTTTCACTATTGTAACAAGATACAATCCTTTCTATTATTACTGGCGCACTGATTACCTCGGTAAAATCAGTAACAAAAAACGAGGTGGTACCATCGTATCGCTCAAACGTATACGGGAACAAAGACAGCCAAGTGTCGTCTCCGTAAAATACCAGTGTGTGTCCAGTTTTCTTCGCTTGGAGCAGTAAACTGTCACTGTTCAGAGGTTTGCTCCCAAAGTTCAGCACTATGTCTACAAAATTTGGCACTGTACCGGTCATCATTGCCTGCGTCAAGAAAACAAAGTGATTGTCTCACAAAACTGCTAACAATATATTAAATTTGCGGAATAATTAAAAAAAAAAAAAAGGAGATTTATGTTGACTGAACATTTTTTCATCGTGATGTTTACCTTTATTCTAGGCATTGTTACCGTCGGTGATTGTAACTTGGTTTTCAGCAAACACGCTGAGAAATTGGACAGTAATCCGTTTGTCACTGGCATGGCAGCTTTGCCAATCGGGCCTGTGACGAAGTCCCATCTCAAAGCGTCGATCACCATGATTATCAGTCTCGTTACTACAGGTGAATATATGTCAAGATTCTTTTTTGTACTGAAAACACAAACGCGAGAATTATTATTCAAATATGCTAAGCCACTTGTGTTGATAGCAGCTGTGAAATCAAAATTATTACACACATACAACATTGTCGAACACTTTATAAAGTGACTGAACACGTTGGAAAATTCTGCAGAAAATAAAAACTATAAAGAAAAAATGTAATAAATTAACAGAAACGCTCGCAATGTAAATATTCTGGAGTCTGACTATCTGGCATCCTAAATGTCATCTCCAACACCATGTTTACTATCAACAGCCAACTCTTTGCGTTGCTTTTAAACACTGACTTCGTTTATTTCTTGACATAAATGTATATACTGCGTATATTTTTTTATATTATTTCACAATTGCGACTGAAGAAGACTCCAGTTAGAGTCGAAATATTTCATGTTAAAGCGTTGATCATTAAATCATTGTATTATTATATTAATATCTTTTTTTTTTTTGGCTCGATGTGACCTTTTTCATTTGCTAATTTGTAAAAACTATATAAACTCATAAATGGGAAGCCACCCCCCTGTGGTTGGTTTATCTCACCTTGGAACATCTATTTGCGAGGCGACAGTGTTATCACGATGAACAACCGGGAAGAAACCGTACAAGAACAAAGCGATGGAAACCGGTGCGATTAGCAACACGTAGAACAAGATAACATTCATCGCTGACATTCCGCACAGACGTGGTGTTTCGCGCATCAACAAACTCTCCCGGCCGCAGCAAACACATCCCGTCAATTCTCATTGTTGCTTGTTTTCGCTAGAGACTAACGTCATCTAGCGTGGGTTTCTCTGGGTTTCTCGCGGCTCATCTCGCGGTTAAGCAGCTACGCGGCGCGATGGCGCTGAATGTCCCACATTTCTCAGAGAGAGAGGAGAAGTTTGTGCGGTTCGGGTCGTTGTGTGGGGAGAGAAACGTGAGGGATTTCGCGTCGGACTCGCGCTATGACTTGATAAAGTTTTTTGATCGTCAATCATTATCGGTTTATGACAAACGAATTAACGTACGATGCACATTTGGCGAGGCATACGTACATGACTGATTATTATTCAACCGTAGCGAGAGTCTCGGCAGCGACGGCGACGATAAGACGCGAAGTCGGAAGCGTGAAGGTAGGGAACAGCTGATTGGCGAGAGTCTCGGATAGCTTAGTCGCACCGAGATCCAGAATCGGACCATTTTTTGCCGTCTCTAGTCAAGAAAAAGAAAAAAAAAACGGGCTGTCATGACGGGTTTTGTTCTTCGGGTGAAGACCAAATCGGGTCAGAAGATCGTCAACGGCCTCGCGGCCCAAGACAAGGTGTCGCAGTTGAAAGCGAAACTCGCCGAGCTCACCGGAGTGCCCGTCGGCGCTCTCCACGTTCTCTCTGGCTTCCCGCCGAAGCCTGTCGACTTGGACGCTGCCGAGGCCACGATCGAACACACTGGCATCGTATCCGGCGACACGCTCATTGTCGAGGAGAAGCAGGTGCGAACGCGAAATACCAACTGTTCTTTTTTTTTTTTTTTTCTTTGTTTTTAATCAATGTGGATAATCTTTGTGAACAGCTTGTAATAAAAAAAAAAAAAAGGGGATATGAAATCAATATAACGTATTGTGAAAGTAAATTTACTGTTTGTAGAAAATCAATACTTGAGAGCACTGTGGTCATGTTTTAGCATTATTGTACAATAAAAACTTCGAGGCAAGGATTATGTAAGTTTGTATTACTAAAAACATACACGCATTTTTTTTTTTTTTTTAACATTTTCTGAGCTGTTCGCACAATTTCAACGGCCAAATTGCTGAGGGTTGTAATGGAATTGTACGTGAAAGTTGTAAAACCGCAAGAATTATATCAGAAAAAATAGAGTTGCTTGAAAAAGTACAGTTGGGAAAAAAAAAAAACATAGTATTGATAAGGCACATCGTTGCAAGATAGTGCGTGTAGATACCTCGTTTCAAACAATTTAATTTCTTGACTCAATCTCTTGCTGTTGGATTGATTAAGATGTACGATTGTGGATTAAGGAGTACTATGCTCCTTATTTTGTACAATGTCATGAAGCGTGAGATCATCTTTGAGAAAATGATACACTCACTGTTCAACCATGTGGTTTAATGATCTCTTTACTGCTTTTTAATGATTGAGGAGAGAGAGAGAGAGGGATTTGTTTACTTAATTTATTTACGGTTCTATTCAATGTTTTGCGTAAAAATGATACATGTAATTCGATTTCTCGTAATCACACTTGTTTGTTTAATTGTTGCAGATAACAAGCGGAGTCCAGCAGAAGTGCAAGGATTTCGGTCGATCTCACATTGTTGATCAAGAGACTCTTGTTGATGTTCCCGGTGTTTTGATGAGAAAGGTTGTGCCAGCGGACAATTCCTGCCTCTTCACCAGTGTCGGTTATGTTCTGAACGGTGAGCAAACACACGATGAACAAAGGAGAAACGAATTCGATCGAATTTTTTTATCATCTGCTTAGTCATCGTCGCGAATCACAAAGTAATATATTGAAAATTTGTAATCGACGATGCTACTCTAGGAAAGGTTGACACCAGTTGCGCGACTTTCATGAGGGAGATCATAGCAAACGCGGTTGCGGCTGATCCGGAAGAATACTCGGAAGCGATCTTAGGTAGACCCAATGCCGAATATTGCAAATGGATTCTCAAACCCGACTCGTGGGGCGGCGCTATCGAATTGTCGATTCTGTCCAAGTTCTACGGTTTGGAAATTGCCGTGGTCGACAGCATCAACGCGATTGTCAACAGGTTCGGCGAAGATCAGCATTACGCACAGCGAGTGTTTCTTATATTCGACGGAATTCATTACGATCCGCTTTACTTGGAACAGCTCGACGTAAGTTTTTTTTTTTTGCTTTTTTTCTTTTCAGGAACGCGAGATTCTTTTTCGTTTTCTATAACGAAATGTCGAATTGTTTCCAGTGCGGCAGTATTCAGACGATATTTCCAGCCGAGGACAAGAGAATGTTGTCGGAAGCCGCTCAACTCGCCAGAGAGGCAAAACTTAGTCGTCAGTTCACGGACGTGCAGAAGTTAACGCTGATGTGCATCGACTGTAAGATCAAACTGATCGGACAGAGAGAGGCGCAGCAGCACGCCAAGGACACCGGTCACAAGAACTTCGGTGAAGTAGCGTAACTAGCCTGCATAATGTATAATCAGAATCTTGAATGACTAAAAAAAAAAAAAAATCTTTAATCCTAAATAGTACTGCCTTCAGCAAGTCGCTTCTCCGCTCACAGCAAAAAAGAGAGTTTTTAAACAAAACAATTTTCCAGTTTAAATTTTCCTTTCATTTCCGTTGTTGTGCTATTACATAATACTGATCCGAGCGATCGAAAGTTTAGTGTGTTCGAGAATACGAGAGGACGAATAGAAAACGTGTGTGTGTGTGTGTGCGTGTGCGTGCGTGCGTGCGTGCGTGTGCGTGTATGTGATATTTTTATAAAATCTATTTAAATTATAAAATTGTAATAATATGCTCTGTGGATAATAAATCATTTTCGACTGATATTCTATAGCGGGGCTTGTTCTGTGACTTGTACACAGCTGCGCAAACGTTGATAACGAGATTCCGTCATCGAACGGAAGTTGCAGAACGACGAGAAGGTGCAACAGTGCCTGTTCAAGTTTGTTCGAGACGAAGAGAGATTCGCCGTTATTTTTGTCACCGTCTCGCGACGTGTATTATTTTTCTCTTCGCTATCCACACGCGCGCCGCAAAATACACACGCAAATACACTCCGCGTTCGTCGGCGTTCGTCGTCCTTCTTTTGTATTCGTTTTGGTTTCGCCAAATGAAACAATAAAGAGACAAAAGAGGTACTTTGTAAATTCGTAAACTTGGACAGGACTGTTTCTAAACCAGTGGGGTTCTTTTAGAACCGTGTTGGATATTTGTGCAATATATTAAATTCGCAGAGGTGAAATTTTTTTTTTTTTTTTTTTTTTTTTTTTTTTTTTTTTTTTTTTTTTAATCATCTTTAGAATCGAAGGAATCGCTGGTGACTGAACGACGCGTGGTGAAGTGGCGCGATTTTCTACTCGAGCGAGGCGCTTGCAACCTAACACAACAATTTGTCACTGATTAATTGCAAACTTGTATTATTTGATGTTCTTGATGCGCTATCGTGCAAGTTGCTAACAAGCACGAAACAAATATACAAAATTACTTTGATATCAAGATATTGTTTCTCTGTTGAATATCAATGGCTGCGCTCACAAATTTGTTACACGCAATAATTTTTTTTATATCTTTCAAAAGTGGAGAAGATTATTGGTAATTGTTTCAACTTGTTTGTTAATATGCGCTTTATTATATAGTTTTCATTGTTTCATATTGTGTTATTTACATATACATATATNATATATATATATATATATATATATATATATATATATATATATTTAGTTAAGCTCAGATAAAATAAAAAGAGTAATTCTAGATATAAAGTTGTGAAACACAAATGTGCTCAACAAAAAAAATGCGACGTGACGAACACCGTTATCGGTGAGAACTCTTGTTATCTCGTTGTTCAATGTTACACCGTTAGCGCCTTTGATATTGAGATGGATTGTGCGTGACTTAAATTTGAAGCCAGATCCACGTTTTCGTTTTTTGCGCCGCACGGGGAAGTTGAACCAAACTCGAGAAACTGTGGATGATCACGTAAAAAAGCAACGATAATAAACAACAAAACAAAACCTGGTTTGGGGTAATAACAATAGCCTGACAACGGAATGAGCTTGCGAGATTATCAATCATCAAGAGTTGTAAAGATGTTGGCGCGACTACACCTCGTGTATCGGCTCCTTTTCTTTCTCGAACAATAGCCATGTAAGCATTTGTTGTTTATACGTTAGAAAAAATGTAATTTCTCTACAGTAATTCTAAATTAAGAATTTTTTCTTATCCGATACGTGCGTCAGCTATGTTATAGTCCAAACGTTCCGGGGGGGGGGGGTGAGCACGGAAGAGAACCCCCGTGCAGCACAGAACGTGCTCACCGACAGAAGCTGTGCTCGCTGTGAACAACACATGGCTACGTAGTTGCCAGTGCGTACCACCACCGCTGTCGCAGCGCTGGCGAACCGCGGACGGGAAAAGAGATAGATAGCGGTTATTAAAAATCGGAGCCGCTGTCACAGTCTTTTAACACAGGCGGGGAACGCACAGCTGGTCGCGTGGTAGCCAATCGATTCACTGCTTTTTCACAAAAGCGAAATCCTGATTGGCTCCTCTCTACTCAGTCATCGGTTTTTTTTTTGAAAACGCGTTTTTCTGCCCGCGTAACGGAAACGCGTACGTTTGAGTTCACGGTCACGACGAGCTGTGACAACCAGCAGCAGCAGCGCTGTCACATCACGTCACACGTAAACACTACCGTTGCTCGCTCGCAGTTGACGCAGTTCGCCCGTGCTGTTACGTTCGAGAAAAAACGTGAGAGAGAAGCAGAATTCCGCCGCGGAATTTTGTGTGGGATTTCGCGACGTGAAATTTTTATGCGCGTGCTCCGATGTTGCGGGATCACGCGAGAGATTAATAATGTCGCCACCGCTGGCCGATCGAGTCCATCCGCTGGCAAACAGGTGAGAAGATGGAAGATGACGCTGACCTCAGGGAACAGTTGTTTCACAATACCGTGCGTGAGAACATAGTGAGTATATATATACGCGTGCCACAATTGCATTATAACACGCACATGTGTACATAATGCGCGCGTATGTGTGTGTTAATTCTCTTTCTCTCTCTCTCTCTCTCTCTGTCACACACATACGTACACAAGAAAGAAATATTATAAGAAACAGGAACGAGTGATCGGTTAGCGTAACGGTTTTTCAAGTGCGCGGGATGGCACGCGTGAAATCGCAATCAATCTGTCTTGAATCTCTCGAGAGTTTCCTTTCTTCCTTCGTGCGCGAACGAACTCTCGAGAAAATTAGCACATTGCGGTAATTTGTGTATGTCTGTGTTAACGTTCTCGTTATAGGCCGCGCGCAATTACAAGCCAATCCAAAGGAGAACAAACTGTGTTCGCGATAAGTCGGTACCGCATTTTAGTCGCCGAGGCGGTTCGAACCTGTTTTCTGCAAGCACAAAAAAAAAATAAGAAAGTTCTCAAGAATGCTAAGATCTAAATCCGCGCATTGTAAATCTCTCGACGTCTCGAGATAGACGACCCGTTGTCGCGAGATGATCCGATTTGACGCAAACCGGGAAAGAAGCACACACCTCTTTTCTATCTCTCTCTCTCTCTCTCCTCTCTCGCCCTTCTCTCTAACCTATCCTATCAAATGCCAGTATTTAAATAAGCTTCTTAATTGTGGCGTGCCAAAAAGACCGCTAAGGAGAGAGTAGAAGGCGTGTGTATAAATGTTAAAAATACATAAACCTCCTGCGCGCTTATTCGAAATGAGCAATTGCGATGCGTGTACTTTGCATTTGCGTGTGATTTTCGTCTCGAGAAAACAGATTTAATTTTAGAAACGAATGCAATATATCAGCACGAAATGAGAGATAAAAAAAAAAATACGCTTTTCTTCGCGTTATCGCGAAGTTTTTTTTTTTTTTTTTTTTTTTTTGTTAACGCGGCACTTCAACGAGAAATACGTGTATACACTTTTCATTTTTTTTTCCGTTGGAGTCTTTTTTTTTTTTTTTATTTATTTATTTATTTCGATGTCGAAGTGAACTTTGATACGCAGCAACAATTGTTCGCGTCAAATTTATCGAGTCGCAAGATGTTGTTGTTTGGATTCGAACATTTTCTGAAATGTTCTCCTCGCGGTAAAATAATTTTCGTTCTCTTCAATCCTCTTGTGTGCTATTGTTGACTCGAAAAAAAAAAAAAAAACGTTACCCGGGAGAAATCTCAAACAAAAACGCAAAGTGTGTCAATTCAGCCGAGACACATTTCGCAAATGCAACAACAAACGCGCGACGTATGTATAGTATGTATATTAATGTAGGACGCAATTCTCTTGAGCGACGAACGTGTCTTTATTTTATATAGATTTCGCACAACGACGCTGTGAGAAATCGATCGCTCGGAGTAGACAAGCCGTTTTAGGGTCTCTCTCTAGCGATGTGAGAGATCGAAGTATTATATGTTACGAAATATAACACAAACGAAGGAAAGGAAATATATAAAATATTAGAACGCCGTTAAAATCTCATTTTATATTCGAGAGATCGGAAAATTTGTCCGCGGGCATTCTGTTTTTTTCCTTCTCTAGTAACTAGGACGCGATACTGGAGAAAAAAACACAATTTAATTGTTGTAATTATATTGTATTAGATATTCTTTTTTGTTTAATTACATATTTTTAATTATACATTTAATTAAATTTTTTAATGTATTCTTTATTATATTTAATTATTGTATTAATTATATATTTTTTATATATATATTTTTTGCAATTAATTATACATTAAATGTATATGTATTATATTTGTTTTCATATTATAAATGTAATTATATATACTTTTCTTTGTATTTTCTAGACAATCGTTAAAAAAAAAAAAAAAAACGTTTCTCTCTTTCACCGGCGTTCGCCTTTCACATGCCAACCAGGTTTTCCGACTTCGCATTATTCTCTTTAATTTTTTTTTTTTTTTTAGCTCTCCTTTCTTTCACTCGAAAGTATTATAAAAACGTGTTCCATTTCTTATCTCTCAGTCATTACGACCATTTGTTATGTCACCATTACGACTTATCTACTTCCTATGGTTGTAGAATTCGAACAATTTATTGTGTCAAGAAAGGAAGAAAATTTACACAAGCAACGATTGGATTTTACTGTTGCTGTTAAAAAAATTTATTAGCAGTTTTCGTATTCTTGTTATTTTTGTGTTCGTATTATCTAGCGTTATCCAGATGTTATTCGAAAAATATGAGCGCGAATGATAATATAACGCGCTCTTCGGACTCTAACCGGATCAATGATCAAAACTGCGAGTGATAACGCTAATCGAAATATCGATTTTTTTTTTGCCACACACACATACATACATGCGCGTGCGTGAAATAAAATTGTCCAAATGTAATACATATTAACATTTGCCCTGCCCCTTCGCAGATATTTCTGCTACTCTTCTTGCTACTTTACATCACGAGCTATGCGCTGATCGCGCGCTTCAGACGACGGGATCGCGATGATTATCTGTCGGTGGACGAAGATGAGGCGACCGTTTACAGGATCAGCTTGTGGCTGTGCACCGTCGCCTTGGCCGTTTCCGTCGGCGCGACGCTCCTACTTCCGGTGTCGATTGCCAGCAACGAAGTTCTCATCCTTTATCCGAACAGCTACTACGTCAAGTGGCTCAACAGCTCTCTCATCCAAGGCAAGGAGACGCGAATAATTTTTATCTATTTCCTTCCTCAAGAGAAAAAAAAAATCGACTCGACGGAACACGTTTTTTGTAACTTTTTTTTATTTTATCTCTCGCGAAAAACTAAGCAATTCCGCGCAATGTGTGTCACACATTCCGGTACTCAACGCTGTCGCTGAAAGATAAAACGATATCAAAGATTGTAATCAGCGATTTTGATGTTAGCAGGTTTGTGGAACCATGTGTTCCTGTTCTCGAATCTGTCGCTCTTTGTGTTTCTGCCCTTCGCTTATCTCTTTACGGAGTCGGAGGGTTTTGAAGGACATAGGAAGGTAAGATAAAAAAAAAAAAAAAAAAAAAAGAAAATTTCTTAACTTATCTCTACTAACTCTGGTTTCTTAATTGCCTAATTGTCCATTGTAGGGCGTGATGGCTAGGGTATACGAGACGGTGACGATTCTTTGTCTCTTGGGTACTCTCATCCTGGGCATGACCTACGTTCTGTCCACCGTCTTGGATTATCAGAACACGAGTGTTCACACATTGCTCAGTGAGTTGTGACAATTTAAATTTTTACTCTAATGACAATTAAAAAAAAAAAACAATGTAATAAGTTTTGAAATTTATATCGAAAGAGACTTTTTAAAAAAGTTTGCGATCTGAATATTTGAAATCCTCCGACCTGAAATTTAAATGTCTATCGAGAAGATATTACGATAGCAATAACCCGACATAACTGTTTGTTATTGCGCAGATGTATGGAGTTATTACTTGCCTTTTCTATATTCCTGCGTCTCATTTGTCGGCGTGGTAATGTTGTTAGGTGAGTATTAGCGTTCTTATACTGATTGTTTTAAGCTTCGTATGCAAATGTGTATTGTAAAAGTTCAGTGATGCGAGCGAGCGATAAGTATTAACACTCCTTATTGAGAGAACGCACGCAATCTGCGCAGCGCGCGATCACACCTACATTCCATATTGACCGGTCGATTAGCAAGAACGTTTCATCCTCTTGATTTTAAGTGACATCATCGCATTACTATGTACACGCACACAGATGTGATTTATTATTTTTTTTTTTTTCACACTTATTCTCATTAATCGAACGAGAGAACAAAATTTGTATTGAATCGTTTCAAAAGTTCGTAGCGATTGTTTTTTTTTTTTAGAGAAAACTTTGTTCTATTCACAGTATGCACTCCGGTGGGATTCGTACGACTGTTTGGTGTGGTGGGATCGTTTCTTGTCAAACCCCAATTTCTAAAAAATTTGGACGAAGAGTTTTTTGCGTATCAATTGGAGGAAGACTGCATTCGTAGAAGGTGAGCGTCTTCTTCTGTCAGATCAGCAATATAACAAGTGTTTTGGAAAATTTTATTTAGGAAGTTATTTTTACGTCGTAATTTTTTTTTTTTTTTTTTTTTCATCGCAAAATTCGCACGCGTTACACAATTTAATGTGTATTCAGATTGCAGCATGTAAAGGCAACGGGCAAGTCGTACGTGTCTCCGGTCCCTATGTCGCCGACGGCGAGCTGCAGCTCGCAGGAGGAGGACGAGCCGTTATTGAGCGTAAGCCCGAATCTTCTATGCTTACAAAACGGTGCTTTGCAAAAAGGCCTTTCGCAGCGACTGATCGAGGTCCAGACGCGACGTCAGCTGCTGAATCAGCAGCGAAGAACCTGGTGGGTTCGGCGTACGCTATTTTACCCGGTGGCGATGCTTGCACTGCTTGCGCTGTCTACCGCTACGGCCTTGTTAGCTGTACAGAACACTGTGGAGCTGTTAATAGGCATCAAAGCACTTCCGTTGAGCACAAGGGTTCGTTCCTTTCCCGATAAAAAAAAAAAAAAATACTAAATTTACCGGTTTTCTCAATAACGTATTAAACATATAATTTATATAAATGTCGGTATGTGTGTCGATAAAAATAATAGCTCACAGAGATTTGCAAAGATCATCAGATTTTTTATTTTTGACAGCAATTCACGCTCGGCATTAGCTCCCTGTCTAAACTCGGCCCCGTTGGAGCAGCTATCGAAGTAGCGGTGATCCTCTACTTGGCTGTAACCAGCGCGATCGGTCTCTATTCGCTTCCGGGTGTGAGGAAAGTGCAACCGAAACGGCATTCCACGCCGCTCACGCATCTCATTGCGAATTGCGCCCTCCTGCTCGTGCTCAGTTCGGCGTTACCGCTCTTATCGCGAATATTAGGTATGGTTGCAAGATGATTTTTTATTCCCGGAAAAAAAAAAAATTTGTTTTCGACAAGAGCTCTCTGCAAGATTTTAATATTGCTTTTGTGCTCTGTCTCAGGAATGACGAACTTCGATCTGTTGGGTGATTTCGGACGCATTGAGTGGCTCGGTAACTTTAAGCTAGTGCTGCTTTATAACTTGATCTTTGCCACGGCGGCGATTAGTTGTCTCGTAACTAAGTTCACCGCGACCGTGCGCAAAGAGATCTATGCCCGTTTGAAGAACAGTGTACTGGGCGTCTTCAGAGCCTTAAGTTCCACCGCTAATGTGAAGAAAAACTCACTTTCGTCAGGAATGTTTTCTACAAAGGAAGATTAGACTGATTTATTATATTATAATTATATTAAGCAGAAAGAGAGAGAGAGAGAGAGAGAAAGAGAGAGATAGAGAGAGAGAGAGAGAGAGAGAGAGAGAAAAATATACCGGAACCTTGCGAAAGTTTGCCTGGTTTTTGAGTTCTTGCATGTCAAGAAAACATGAAAACAAAACGTGTCCATTAGAGGGAACATTCCAGTTCGTTAGAAAATCCACTGGTCTTAAAATCCCTCAGTCACTCGAGTACTGATCGATACTTGCGACGTTATTCAAGTTTAAAATGCGCGCGTATTGGAATACTCATAAAAATTTAAATCTGAAGGTGAAGCTTTTTGAAGTCGATAGTTTGTTTAGAACGTTAGTTAGTGAAAAAAGAAAACTTCAGATATCAAAGTGAAAATAAAAGAATTAATGGTGGTGTGGTTACTGGATGATGTTTTTATTTTGCGAACTCCATTTTGGGCTCTGTAACAGCAAAAGTGCCGACAGGAAGAAACGCCACTGTATATTACGCGTCGTGAAAAACCTTAAAGCTCGGATAGGAATTAAAATATAGTCGGTTATCACGAGCAGTTGTTTCATCAAAGCTTCAAGATGCAACTATTAACGAAACTGTTTTCGATGATCTCAATGCATTCTACAAAAAAAAAAAAAAACACTTGAGACTCGAATGTTTGTTTATTAATACCATATACTTCTGCGTCGAAAAATCGTTACACCAAAGAACCAACAAAACTTACGCGGAAGTTTCGAAATTGATCGTTTAAATGGCGGTTAAGTGACCGCGAGATAGGGTAGCGAGATAGTTAACTAGATAGATTAGCACAGAGAGAGAAAGAGAGAGAAAGACAAAGAGAGAGACAGAGAGAGAGAGGAGAAGGAAAAAGTGAAGATAAAAAGAGTTGCGAGAGGAAGGGAATGAGCGATCGTTCGCCAATTTATTAATTGTACGTGATTTTCCTCATGTCCGCCTCTGTATCGAACTTCGTCTCGCTCATTCTCGTTTCTCTCACGAGTTCCAGGGTACAGTCGGAGGGACTGTTTTATAAAGATGAATAAATTCGCTCTCCTCGAACAAACCGCGCGCAACCGGTTCCGAATCGCGTACAGCTGACCAAGGATGATGACTAAACTACGCTAGGCCATTTAAATGCGTCCCGCGAAGGACCACCAGGCGGTAAAAAATAGCGGTAGATATTTATTTATTATAATGTAATATTTTTATTAGAAATATATATATATATATTTTTTTGCGGACAAAGTTAGAACGATATTGTATATGTTGCAATTGAGCGTTTGTTCTTATGTAAAATTTATATAAGAATCGCGATAGATACACGATTGGATACACATGTGGATTTGAGATAACGCGCGCGCGATTGAAACATTGGTTTGAAGAAATTTCTACTACGACGAAGAATTTTACTTTACACTTACTTTCGGTAAATGTTTAATTTTTGTTAAACAATTCTGTCATCATCGGCCATCGTAGTTTTAAAAAGTAGAGAAGGAAGGATAGATAGATTTTTAATTTATAAATAATCAACTTCGACTGGTTAAAATAAGAGAAATCTTGTCTGATATTATTAAACATGATTAAATTAGAAGTTTGAACGATTATTTAACGACTTATATATATATGGAGATACGACATGTTCTTATATATATATATATATTGAACAAAGTGCAATAAAAATGAGATTTCAGAAACACCGTCTTACTTTCATGAGTACAGATACCTTTAATAAAAATAAAAAATAAAAATGTATAACCAACACTTGTGAGTGAGAGCAATATATCCCTTTATTCAAAAAACATCAAAAATATGGTCTCGAATGTAAACTTCCTGTTTACAGAATCGTACACCGGAGGTAGTAATGGAACAGCGTTAGTGACATAAAAACAAATGTTAAGTAAAAACTATTTTTATTATCACTCAAGTGAATTTTGGGTAAAAAATTTGATAAGAGAAGAATAGTTGACAACATTAAGTCTACCGGATGTAAAACAATTTCATCAAGAAACTTGTCTGCTGATCCATGTGGTCTTGTATTTATAAACACTGTTGTACATTGAAATTTCCACTTATATTATGGTAATACAGCAAATCAACAACAAAATCACGCAGTTCCCCGAGAATTATTTTTCACCCAACCGTATGTACAAAAAGTCACTTTTACCCTGTGCTCAGCTGAGCAGATGGCTGTTGCTGCGCGGTAACGTCCTTCAATCCGAATTTTTTTAATGTTCCGATTATTATATTAAGCCCGATCCCTCTGCGCACAATATGATAATAACCCGGTTCCGACAGATCCACCACGGTTGAGCCAACACGGCGGCGATCGACCTGTTTCTTGGAATTCATCTGGCCATGAAAGATGCCATCGAGTTGCGGCCACAGGACGCTAAACTCTTCCGGCTGCAGACTGCTCGGCTCGCTGCTGACGTTGGCACTGGTGAGCGCGAGAGGACCGACGAGTTTTGCGACACACCGTACAAACTTGTTGTTGGGCACACGGATGCCCACGGTGTCTATGCCGGGATTGAGAGCGGGATTCAGAGCGGGTGTGCGTCGCAAGCACATCGTGTACGGTCCGGGCAACAGATCCTCCAACAGACGAGACGGTATGTCATCCGTAACACCCCACGTGCCTATCTCGTTAACGTTGCTCAAGCAGATCGCCAATGGTTTCGTCTCGTCCCGCTTTTTGATCTCGTACAGCCGCTGAACAGCGTCCGTGTCAGAGGCCACGCAAGCCAGACCATACACAGTGTCCGTTGGTATAGCGATTATCTTACCTTCCCGCAGCAGATGCGCCGCCATTGCAATGCTCCGAGTGCTGCTGCAAAACCAATGCTTCTGATTTGGTAGCATTTTTAATTCCTCTTTGGCTTTGTTTAAGTAAACATTCATAGGTCCCATCGAAGAAGGACTCATCATGCTTCGATGCTCGGGAAACAATATCTGTAAGAAAAATACTGGTTTAAAAAAGTTGCCAAGAGGTAGAGATTTTTATATCTTTGTTACGGCTTTAGCTTTGCTTCAAACTTATCGAGAAAAACCTATTCTTTATTTCAATGTCAGTGGCAACCTATAGTGAAATACGAACTTATCGTATTCACATCAAACACCACTGATTATAATCTTGCAAACTCGTTTACAAAAGACCCAAATTGAAAACCTTCTATTGAAGTCTCTTAAACAGTTTGCAAATATATTTATCAGAAGGGCGAGTTCTGCAAGGGCTGTTTTCTAACAGCGTGACTCCAAGTTTTATATTTTTACAAGTAAGATATTAGGTTGTGTGTGTTTGATGTCAAAAAGTTCGCGAGCGTAAACTCTGTTTTAAGTCACTTTCGTCACCAAATAAAGCTAATTAAGGTTTTTCTGATTCAATTACCGAATTTTTTGTGAGAATTTTTGAAATCTCACATCTGACACACGTGACCACGCGCTTACCTGGGGCTTTAGTCGACTCGCCACGTGTGACCACACTCGTGATTGCAACATCGGTAAAAGAGAGTCATAGGCTCGTCCGCGGATCTAGTTTGAAATTGTTTGAAGTAAGCGCGTGGATGCGAGCACTTGGGACAACGTTCGTCCGTCGCCTGGACATTCATCCACTCGGACGCGGCGTCGATCACATCCGCCTTCGTCTTGCCCGTGAAATACGTTCGCGAAGTAACCGCACTTTTGATCTGATAGATGTACGGACACGTGGGACACGCGAACCGATTGCCGCTCACGTCTTCGCGAAATTGCAGGAGATTTGCGCAATGCGGACAGAATCGCAATACCATATTTTTAAAAGCCGCTCGAAGAACTTCGATTGAGAACGTTCATTAATTAACATACTTCTTCCGAATGACGCAAAACAATTTAAGAGAAGCGTAGCTACTCGCGTTCCTCGCGCACAGCAAGGCGGAGAGTTTCTAAACTTACTTCATGTTACAAAGAAGTTCAACTAAAAAGGTCACTAAAAACTGTCTTTAGCGCCGCCTGGAGCACAAGTCCGAAATAAACGCGACGTTTAAAACCAATCGAACCAATTGCACTTTAAATATTCAAATTAAAGTGGCAAAGTCGCGAACACAAACTATTAAGATGATCGCGGTATGATTTGTGTAATTGAAGATTTATTATTAGTGAGGAAAACAAAAGGAAAACGGAAAGTGTCACTGGAGAGAATCATTTATTCTATCGAAAAAAAACAAATCCGTTGTTTTGAACAAAAAGGTCTGTAATAGTGATGTACTTATACACACACGTATCACGTAGCCTTCTGTGTGTCACGGGCGCGTCACTTTATTCCTCCCTCTCTTCTTCCTCCGTATTAATGTAGTTAAATAGGTCCTTCCCACAGATACATATTAACTCCTACAGTTTCATTATCATTTCAATCTAACTGGATAAATTGTTCGTGGAATACGTGTGTGTTTTGTTTATTAAGAGGTAATTGAGATTTCTGTTGAAGATACAATTTCAACAAAGTATTTTTATCGATATATCATACAGAACTTTATTAGCGATGAACTTTATTGTGAAAGAATACTTTAAGTACTATATTATTTATACAAAAAATTCATATAGATATACATACATATATAACAGTATTTAAGGAACTATTATTGTTTAGAAAATGATGATTATTATTAGCACTTTTCATCAAGATTGCATAAAATCTGCAGGTGGAATCATGAGTCAAGATAAAAATCGTGTCAAACTGAGTGAAGTAAGTGACAAGTTCACAGACGAAACACTGACGGACATCCTCTGCAAAGCAAACAATGGGATTAAAGTACAGCTCACAGATTGGAGTTTTGGCGATGGGTTTACCAAAGGTGACAATTACTTGTCGACTGTTAACAAAGGCACAATATACGGTGTCGTGGACGGTGATCCGAAGCAAAATGTGCAAGTGAATTTTGTCGTCAAGTCCATCCCGAAAAACGTCGGAAGAAGAAAAACTTTCAAAAGTGCGGAATTCTTCCGCCATGAAATTGCGTTTTATACGCAAGTAAGACTACACATCTGTTTTTAAAAATGACTATACATATTTAAAAAAAGATGTGTAAGACTACACATTTTTTTTAAGAATGTAATGAAACCAATAAAATATATATTTGTCTAGAAACATATACAATGACAAAACACATCTCGATCTTGAACACATACAAGGTTTGTTTAGGTGGTTCCTAAATTTGAGAAGTTTTTGGCTGAAAAAGGACAAAGCGATTTGCTGCGCATACCACGTCATCTGCTTTCTTACATGGATGGCGAGAACGATTTCATCGTCTTGGAAGATGTCTCTCCTTTGGGATACGGACCAGCATCTCGCCAGAACTGTATAGACTTTGCGGAGTGCACTACGATTCTGAAAACATTGGCAAACTTTCATTCAATTTCATTTGCATATAGAGATCAGAAGGAAGAAGAGTTTCAACAGATGGCAGATTGTATGGAAGAAATCTATATTTTTCCTAGTAACTGGAGCTGGCATGAAAAGTTGTATGTGAGTGACCATTATATGTCTTCAAACAAATTGAAATAAAATTCGTCTTGCGCACCCTTTAACATAAAACAATTAATTACAAATTGTTTTTTTTTCTACAGACAAATTTAGTCAACATAGCTAAAAACGCACTAGCAACCGAATATCCTAAGAGTGAAGCTGACAAACGATTCAATACCTACGAACCTCGCGCGATATTTGACATAATGTGTAAATTGTGTCAGAAAAAAGAAGCTCCCACATCTGTGATATTGGCAGGCGATTGTTGGGCTCCAAACTTTTTGATCCGAGACATCGGACAGGGCAAAAAAGAAGCGTTGATGCTCGACTTTCAGCTCTCGCGTTGTTCAAGTCCTATGTTGGACCTGTCCTTCTTGATTTACTCGTGCACCTCCAAACCATTTCGTGATCAGTATTACGACGATGTATTGAAAATCTATCACACTGAATTAAGCAGTGCCATTAAATCCCTTGGATCGGATCCGGAGAAAATTTATCCTTGGGACTTATTTATGAAAGAGGTAATTTTTACTTTTTGTTTAACATTATCTGCGTTTTAGAATTTTGAGTAAAGAAAAGTACTGTACATCAATTGACATTGATTGTAGGTGAAAGATCATTTTGTTTTCGGATTGGGATTCTCGCTCGGGACCGTTTCCTTTTGTCTATTGGATCCGTCCGAGTCGTTCGATCTAGATCTTATTAAAGGCGAAGAAGCGGTAAATATCGCTGACGTGTGGGTATTACACAATATCAAAACATCAAGTGGAAGACAGAGACTAGCAGATATAATAGTCCATGGTGTCGAAAATGGATACTTGTAACGATATATGTTAATTTCTGATCATACCTAAGTTGTAAACAACTTTATGAAGAATTTTATATGTTTATATAAATCTTTTTTAAATCGGCTTTGTAGGTTTTGAGCCAAAGGATTTATGTGGATCATCGTTAACGTCAATTTATATTCTCATTCTTCTCTGGTTTTTTATTTTTGTATCTTTTTTATCCAACTTGCTACTTTTCTTTTATTTACATCATCTAAGATATTTTTAGCTTCATATTTATATTCTCTACGTATGTATTATATACTTTATCATCCTTTCCTCTTCTCTTCTCAAACACTGGACACTTTTTTCCTTTCCAGCAGTATAAGAACAGATCACTTTTCATGAACCCTTTTGTCACAGCTACGTGCACTTATTAGGAGTTCATTCTAGACACTTGGCTACACAAATCCAGGTCTTCCTTAAGTATCTGCTAGATAGAACGAAAACGTGGGTAACAAGATAAAAAAATGAAAATAATAAATAGATAAATATTTGTTTTTGTGCAATGCTGCTTTTGTTCTATCTAAGCGATATCGTGTCATTCGTTTTTATTGGTCGAGAATGGGATTATATTAGATTACGAAACTCTTATTAAATGTTTTTGAGACAAAAGTTCCAGGTTTTCTCATTTTCTTGCTCGAGTAAACTCGAGTAAAAATACTAATCCCAAGGAAAAATATATCACAATATTGTCGCAATATTTCGAATTCGAGATTCCTAGTTTCGCACTTTATGCACTCTTGTGCCGCAAAACCGTCCAACTATAAATATCAGCCTTGATTATACGCTAACATTCGGAGAGGAAAGGCGCCCGACTTGTAAACACAAGTGACGTTTCAGCAGCGTTCAGAGTTTCAGAGCACGCAGATTCCTGATGATTGGCCGTTGTGTGATAAGATCCCGCGACGTTTACCTCCAATCAAACACACTTGCACTTTAAAGATTTACAACATAGTGGCAAATTCACGAACACAAAATATTAAGATGAATGTGTTGCGATATGTGTACTTGAAAATTTATTATTAGCGAGAAAAACAAAAGAAAAACAGAAAGTATCACTCAAGCGGAACGCAAATATTACTCGTTTAAGGAAAAATCTAGTGTTTTGAAATACGCAACAATCTATAAATTATGTATCAGTAACGTATTTACACATACCCCGATAGCCAAATGATAGCAGTATGCCAGCAGGTTTAATCAACACTTTGCAGCAGTTCCACTCAGCTGTGTCAGTCTTGGTTATCTGAGTAGATACGCAGTTCATGCGGCCTTCTGTATCATTGCGTGTCACTTTATTCTTCCCACTCTTTTTTCTTCACGTTAATGTATTATTAAATAGTTTCTTATTAGAAAGAATTTCCTATAGATTTATCTTCATCGTGGTGAAAAATAGTATTTGCGGTCTAGTGATAAGTGACAGATGTTAAAACCGAGTGTATGATTGCAGTTTTTTAAATAAAAGAAATATCTAACGCATACGTAAGATGACATGTTCTCATTGAAAAAATATAAGTAACTATTTTTTTTGACCACACAAAAACGATATTTGAAGTTTTTCCTGCTAAATCCGCAGTTCTGCCTGCATAAAAATTGTTCATAAGATACAAAGTCTTTAAACAAACACACATAGGTAAATATTGCAGTGCGATAAGATAGTTATCATGAATTCTAGAGTGCTCTTATCCCGTGACGTCTAAGATTTCTGAAAACTTTTTTCTGTCCTGCAGAACAGTATATAAAGTGAAGCAATTTATTATTCTCTTAACGTGGACAAATTGGTTGTAGAACACGTGTGTATTTTGTTTTTATTAAGAGGTACTTGAGATTTCTGTTGAAGATACAATTTCAACAAAGTATTATTATCAATACATCCTACAGAACTATATTAGTAATATTATGAATATTTATTAGTATAATTATGAAAAAGAATATTTTAAGTAATATATTATTTATACAAAGAATTCATATAGATATACCTAGCAAACAATTTCTGACTGCGCAGACCTGGCAACAGAAACTGTGTGCAGAAACGCTACAACACAGAAACATGCTTTGTGTGCTGCCAAAGCTGTTAACACACAGACACAAAAAACGCAACATGGTCACCAAAACTCACCAAAACCATATCCTACTAAGGACACAGATGGATATGGATTTGATGTGGCAGTTGGCGACAAAATCGCGACATCTGACAACCAAATTGTTTGCTGGGTATATATACCCAGATAACCAAGGCGGAATGAACATGTTTTGCAAAGTCTGCATTAACACATTATGTCAGTAAAATGCTGCCAGCATTCACACATAGTCTGCTATGTCAATTAGTGGCGACAGGAAAGCAGAAAAAAAAAGAATATAAATTTGGCATGCC